ATGGAGCCATTCTCTCAGCAGACACCGGAGGTCACACGCACACAGACAGATGGCTGGGGACACATCCAAAGAAATACTAAGTTTTGAAGGACCTTCAGAGAATCCCGACAGTGTGACGTAAAAGTTGAGTGTTTATTAAAAGCACATTTCCTCTTCATTTAGTTTTGGTGAAGAGAGAGGAAGAAGCTCATTTCTGTTCTAATGACAAGTTATTTAAAGTTCTTGTGATGATTCACCTTTCTGCTCTCATTGCTGACTGTCCACTAAATTCTTTTTTAAAAATCTCAGTTAGGACAGGGCATCAGGTCAGTGCTTGAAGATGTGTTCGCTGAAGTCTGTATTAATTGGAGTACAGCAGCAGTTAAAATTTTGGATGTGCCTAGAATATCTACTGTTTGATCTCACAGCTCAGTGTAGGTCTGCTCTGTTCACAGTTCACTGCTATGACATGTGGTGTGGTTAGCGTTTAAGAATATTTCATAGTTCTTTACCAAAGGACAAGATAATAGAATTGCCCTACCAAATGGCTGGAAAGTTTCTCTGGACCTACAGTTATATCAGTACAACATTTTGTATGGTGCAGTGCAAACCAGGATGTAGCTAAGCATTGCTTCTTTCTGCAGTTTATAAAACAAAGTGTACTTTCTTTTAAAAATATTTGTTACCTAATTTGCCATCATAATAAGTGTCAAATATGCAGATTTTGCATTTACAGCCAATTACAGTATTTTTTTCAGCAGTTAAATCTTTACAAAACGGTTATGCTCTTCTAAATTAAAGTAAAAAAGAAAAATGAACTGCACTATTGTCCTCTGGGCAGGACCTGCAGTGATGTCACAGTGGCCAGAGGTACTCCACTCTTGAGTGCAGTAGCATTTTTAAGCTTGTACAAGTTGTGAAAAAAAATTAAATGAACAAAGAACATTGTACTTTTTAAGTTTTTATATCAGTATAATTTTATATTAGATGTACAACATATATATAATGTAGTTGTGTAATCCAATGATTTTTATCTTATTCATGCACGATAGCTTACATTCAATAAAGATACATGGTGATGTACTGTGATGAACTCTGTAGTAATTTCAGACAATGGGCGTTCAATGTTTTTGTACTGATAATCAGTAAATGTGCTGAAATGTGTTTTTACTTGTTCTGTTATGTCCCAGATTCTTCTTCTGTGACATGTTGTTTATTTGTGAAATGAGAGAATTTTAAGTTTTTTGTATAATGCCAGTATAGGTCACGGATTAATTTGTCATCTTTATCCATAGTGCAAATACAGTGAAATGTACCCTACAAATGCAATACCGATTTTCCAGTGTAATTTGCAAATTATGTTTAATTGTTTTTGTGTACGGCCGTTTCAAATGTGAAATTTCCGATACCACGTGAATGCAGCAGAGAAACGTCATTCAGCCGGTGGCGCTTTATTGATGTTGCTAGGCGACCGTTTGTTTGGCGTGAACTACTTCACCTGCCTGAGAAAAAACAATTACCGCTATTTAAACTAAATTTGAATTTACTGGTTAAAATACAGTTTTTTCCGGGTGAATAAAATACAGTTAGTTTGATAATGGATGTTGAAACAGAAAGTATACCTCGGCTCGAACTGGAGGCTGTTATTGGCTTTAACGGTAAGTCACCCCCTGCAAACGTAAATTAACTTTCTGATACGACAGCTGAAAAGTCTGGAGTAACACGCTAAGTACTGTACGTAGTGTTAGTTTTTTAATATTAAAAACATTGCGTGGTCTTTAACAGTAGGAAAAGCTGTAAAACTTTAAATTACAGTTAAAAGTCCAAAATTGATGTTCTCCTTGTTCCAGAGCTGTCTAGCGGGCTGAGTTCTCGTTCCCTTGTGTGATTTAGACTTTGCTGTTGATTTAGACCTTTGTTGTTAAGATTACATTTTGAACTTACACGTGTAGCTATGAAGATAGAGTGCACATTCCCGTTATTATTATCCAGCTTTTAAAACAACCATCCACCTTCATAATCGCAAACAGATTGTCTGTTCAATGTACTCTGCTTTATTTCACCAGGACATGTTTCTTCTGGCCTAAGAGTCCATCCAGACAACGAGCACATGATCTACCCTCTTGGATGCACAATCATTCTGAAGAGAATTAAAGATGGCAAACAGGAGTTCTTACATGGCCATGCAAACAATGTAACCTGTATTTCAGTGTCAAAAAGTGGACTGTATATTGCCTCTGGACAGGTCAACTTTATGGGCTTTAAGGTAATCTTAGTCAGGAACATTTGAATGTTTTTGTAACTACCTGGCAAATCTGCCATCAGATATTGGGTTAAATAATTTTGATGAATAAATTACAATATTTTACTTAATATGTTGTCCTAGGCTACAATAATAATCTGGGACTATGCGACCCGAACAATCTATACAGAGCTGGTGCTCCACAAGGCAAAGGTAGAGGCACTGGCCTTTTCTCCTAATGACAAGTACCTGGTGTCCCTTGGGGGTCAAGATGATGGCAGGTAAACATTATGGCTGAATGATGCAGCTGGGTGCAAGTTCAGATAGTAAGATTGCAGAATGGAAATACACATTGCCTTGCACAGTAATTGTCTAATTGCCAACATAGCACACTATATTTCATTGAGCAATGATCATGCCACATTTGTTTTACTGTTTAACAAGCCAGGCACAAGGCTCTTGTAGAACACAGGAAGTTGTACAGTATACACTGTACTGTACTGAATACATTCAGGCTAGTAAGGTACTGGAAAGGAAAGCAAAAGTCCTTTGCTATTGTGACTCCCTAATAAACCAGAATAACCTAAGCTGGGCCAGTCTTCAGATATAAAGATGCTTGTTATAAGATTGCACATGGCTCAGCTCTTCCCCTTATTTGTGTTTTATAAAGCAGGAAGCAACAAATGACAAACACCCTGCATTTGTTGCCAGAGGGGATGTATTGAACTTGTGAAGTAGACTCCATTTGGATAGTTAGCTTTCAGTGACTGAAGCTTATACATTGTAGATCCGTTAAGACTTAGCAGACACAGTGGCATTTATTTTTTATTAAATATGATATAAGAATCATAATTTAAAGACAGTCCAGTATGAGGTCAAGCTCTGCGTTTTTGTGAAGTCTGTTTCATTATATATACTGGTTTGTTGTTCCTGGCTTAATAGATTTCATGTGTCTTGAGGTGAGAGTTAGCCAAATGTCTACACTAGTACATTTACTGAAATGTGTGTTGACGTGCAATGTCCATGAATACACATGGTATGGCCTTTAATTATCTTTATCTGCACAAAAAGGGGTACATCAATTTCTAGATGGCCTATCAAATGTACTGTACTAATGATCTTTTGTGTTTGTTTACAGTATAGTTGTGTGGAATATTGAGACTAAGCAAGCTATATGTGGGAGCCCAGCTTCAGCGCAGAGTGCTGGTCACTCCCTGATTTTGCAATACTCAAACACAAATGACAACATCTTTGTGTCAGCAGGGAGGTGAGTGAATGGTGTCTGCTATTTTTTCTTTTCTGTGTTTTTTTTTAAACCAAGCTAAATGTCACATTAGATTTTTAATTTGTAATTTTTAGGTTATCTGTGAATTAGATTTTATTGAACCGGCTTATAAAATGACAAGACATCTACCTATTGCTATTTTTCTGCTTACCTAGCTTCACAATGTGGGTTTTCACGCTCCTTGTTATTGCATAAAAGTGATTTAATATCACTGGTCTTCTTTGGGCAGTGGAACATTGCGAGTTTGGGAACTGGACCTCGCCAACAGAAAGATCAGGCCCACAGAGTGTCAGACAGGAAAGCTCAAGAGGACTGTGAAATGCTTAGAGGTATGAAGCCATATGCAAACCATCTGCAGGCAAAAACTTAACAAATCAATAAAACACTAATAGTATGGCTGCAGAAGGTGCATAAGGATAATAATAGTGAAACTCAACTTTTTTAATCTTCCAAACTTATAGCACACCAGATATAGTGAAATAATGTGGTTGCACTATCAATATTGCTGTACAGATTTCAGAGGATGATCAGTTCATTTTCTGCGGCACCATGACTGGAGACATAATGAAAGTTAACCTGAAGACAAAGCTTCTGAATCACTGCGGTCCAGCTAAATCAAAATACAGCATGGTAAGTCATCACTGTAGAGGTCATTCATTGCATTCCTTATTGGGTGCTTTGAATTCAGTCATTCAGCCACTCCTTACTCATGCCCTGCGCTTAATAGGAATCCTTGTGGAAGGAAAAGCCATGGTTCATGTCACATAGTTAAAAAATTCTTAAGTTATGAGAAGCTGTAAACGATCTAGGAATTTTAAAAAGTGATATATTCAAATATGCATAATTGTTTTAGAAAAGCGTAATGAAAATTTTCTTTGCAGGGTGTCAATGTCATAAAGATACTGAAGTCTGGGGACTTACTTGTAGGCTGTGGATCTGGCACTGTCACTTTGTGTTCTGGGACTAACTTCAAAAGTCTTAAGTGAGTTCTATGACTGAATTATTTCACTATAAAATACCCCTAGTGTGCATAATTGTTACCTTTGAATTTTCTATATTTTCAGCATTAAAATGCTTTAGTTTATTTTTGCATTTTTGTACTTTTTTCCTTTACCTCACATCAGGAAAGTCGATCTGGAAAAGGCAGTAACCTCCATTGCTACATTAGGAGATGGAAATGAGTTTTTTGTTGGCACAGAGGCTGCTCAGATGTATCGCTTCAGTTATGAGAATTTCAAAGTGGAACTCATATCCACCAGCCATAATGATGCTGTCAAGGACGTAGCCATCTTGTTGTAAGTGTCAGAAAATAGAATTTAAATAGTGTTCTGCAATAAAACATAAATGCCCTGATAAAGAGAATTGATCAGAAAACAGTCAGTCGGTTCCTTTTTCTCCTTCACCATGTCCTTCAGAAACACACATTTTCTCTTGTATCCAGAAATGCAAGAAAATAAACATTATGTTATGTGTCAAATGCAGAAAAGCAAAACCACAATGCTTAAACTGTGCTGAAATAGTTTCTGATTCATTACTTTATTTACCTTTTGTACTCACTAGAGGGTGACATATACATGCCACATGTCTACATATTCTAAGGAAATGTTATTGGTTTTATGTATGTATGTAAGACCTGAGTAAAATATTACTTTTAATTAATTATTTACATAATTATATTAACAACCCATACCACACAACTATAATTCTCTATTTTTCCTCACATTTTTCCACTAGTGGAACATCTGAACTATTTGCAACCTGCTCAGATGAAGATATCAGAGTGTGGTACACAGGGAAGCCTAAAGAGCTGTTGCGCATCACTATACCCAATGTGACCTGCAATTCGGTGGACTTCATGTTTAATGGACAAAGCATCATCAGTGGTAGGACTCAGAGAGCGATTTCTGTAACAATTAATTTTCTGTTTTGAAATATGTTTTGAATAGGTGATAACAAGCCATCTCAATTACAGTAGCGCAGAAATCTGAAATATAAAAGTAACGTTTCTTTTCACTTGATGAAAAGTTCTGTTTCTTGTGCAGAATCAGATTAATCTCTAGCTGTCATTGTCTTCTAGCATGGAATGATGGTAAGATTCGTCTGTTTGGACCAGAAAGTGGAAAACTCATGCTCACCATTCACAATGCACACACAATGGGTGCAACGGCCATTGCTGGCACAAGGGATTGCAAAAGGATTGTCAGTGGAGGGGGAGAAGGACAGGTCAGTGGAAATAATATCAATGAACCTATAATTTGTTCACTATTAGATATATATTATTGTTTAATTTATATTATAATATTAAAGTCTTGAGCCGCTCCTCATTTCTTGGCTTTATGCTTCTAAGGAGTCAGATGTTCTTATAAGTTTTAAAATAGTTCAGCAATATTTCCAGAGACTGTCTGAAGGTCTTTAAAAAAAAAAAAACTTCTTTTTTGTTAATTTTCAGACTAGTCTGTTGAGAACTGTTCAGTCTATTTTCAGAAGAATGTTTTTAGTTTTTACATTGACTCATAAAGCATAAAACGGCACTTAAATCACAGAATAAACCAGTGTTGTGTTTACATATAACACAGAACTTAGCAAAAATCCAGTTTTATATTCTACCTTTAGCACTTTATTACTAGCAGCCTGTCACAAAACACTCAAAATGATCCTTTTTCTGTGGTTGAATCAACACAAATTGCAAAGATAACACAGTTTGTCAGGCATAAAACTGTATTTTTGTACCAACAAGGTGATTCTAAAAGAGCTATTAGCTATAAACATATCTGTTCATTGTGTCCTTAAAAAATTGAGGAAACTGAACACGTAGACAGAAGTTGTAGGCATGAAAACTATCTATAATAGATGTAGTCATGTCCTTAAGAAATAGGAAAAATCTATCAAAGAACTGAGACAGGATCCGAGAGATACATTTTACATTGTACCCCTTAGCTGATTCATCTGCTTTTTCCCTAAGCCTCATCAGAACTAGTCTCAATGGTAAAAAAAA